AATGCCATGATGCTGCCGGTATGTGTTGCGGAGTTTAGAGGGAGCTATCACCGATGGTAACTAACGAGGCTCTAGAACATGGCAGCGACAACAACGGAGTTATGGCCTTCGATTACGAGTATCGCCATGGCTCCCTGGCGGCATATGACTTCAGTCACACCCAGTCGATCGGTCCCTTCGAAGAATGGCGTGGAACAGACAAAGGTGACGGAAGCTCAACGAGTATGTCGCAACCGTTGGACATTTTCAACCACCATACTAATCTGTGTTACAGGTGACCGAATTCCGAATCCCCGAATTTCTTCAACAAGTTGACTTTGGTTCCCTCTCTCGCTCACGATTCTCTTCCGTGACCCCGATGACTGCTCAGACAACTCTTTCCAATGTGGGCCGCATTGGCCTCCGAGCAGCCAACCCCATTTTGCGACACCCTCAATTTCAGCCCCGCGTATCGACCCAGTCGTCTTTCCTACGCTCGTTTTCGCAGTCTTCTTCCGGTATTCTCTCATCTCCTCGTGGTATCTCAACTCTCGGTGCATTTTCTGTTCAGCGCAGAGCGTTCGGCAGCTCCAATGGCATTTCCCGTAACCAGCTGGCAACATTGGAGGAATCCGCCAATCGAAACCCTGGTAATGCGAACGCGCAAAACGCTTTCTACCAGCTCCTCCTCCGTGCCAACATGCCTGCTATTCTTGTGGAACGATATCAATCTGGACGCTTTGCCTCGAACCCTGCCACCAACGATGCTTACCAGCGAGCCCTCACGATGCTTGGTGTTAACGCTAACCAAGCTGCGAATGCGCAGGGTGCTGTGAACGGAAACTTTGCTGGAACTCAATGGCCAACTTATGAGCAAGGCATTGCCAACGCTGCTGTGGCTGGATCCGCCAATGGTGGTAATCCGATGGGCCACAAGGGTGAGCCCATCCACGTTATCGTTCAGGAGTCAACTCGGTCTACTATCTTCCGCTGGGTTAAGTTTTTGGCTATCTTCATTGTGACCACCTATCTCTGTTTCGCGCTTGTTACTATTGCCATCGAGGCGTTCAGTACATTCCGTCGCGGTGGGCCTAGTAGCAAGGCAGACTCTGAGGTCAAGGCTGAGAAGCAAAATACTCGGTTCAACGATGTTCATGGTTGTGACGAAGCCAAAGAGGAGCTCCAAGAAGTTGTCGAGTTTCTGAAGAATCCCGAAAAGTTCAGCGATCTTGGTGCTAAACTGCCCAAGGGTGTCCTCCTAGTCGGTCCTCCTGGTACTGGTAAGACGCTTCTTGCTCGAGCTGTTGCTGGCGAAGCTGGTGTCCCCTTTTTCTACATGTCTGGTAGCGAGTTTGACGAGATCTTTGTTGGTGTCGGTGCCAAGCGAGTCCGTGACCTCTTCACTGCGGCCAAAAGCAAGTCCCCTGCCATTGTTTTCATCGACGAACTTGATGCCATTGGAGGCAAGCGAAACCCACGGGACCAGGCTCATGCCAAGCAGACATTGAACCAGTTGCTTACCGAATTGGATGGCTTCGACCAGGACAGCAAAATCATCATCATTGGAGCCACCAACTTGCCCAAAATGCTCGACAAGGCCCTTACCCGACCTGGACGATTTGACCGTCATGTTAATGTTGAACTGCCCGATGTTCGTGGCCGTATTGCCATTCTCCAGCACCACGCCAAGAAGATCAAGGTTGGAACTGATGTCGACCTCGAAGCTATTGCTGCTCGATGCCCCGGCCGATCTGGTGCCGAGCTTGAGAACATGTTGAATGTTGCCGCTCTCCGAGCCAGCCGGGCCAAGGCCAGTTTTGTTCGGAAGCAAGATATGGAATGGGCCTACGACCGAGTCACCATGGGATCCGAACGCAAGTCAATGGTTGTCACTGAGAAAGAGAAGGAGATGACTGCTTATCACGAGGCTGGTCATGCGCTTGTTCAGCTTTTCGACAAGGAGAGCTCAAACACTCTGTACAAGGTCACAATCCTCCCTAAGGGTCCCTCGCTGGGCCACACCGCCCAACTTCCCCAGATGGACAAGTATTCTTACACAGCTGCTGAGTATATGTCAAACATCCGCGTCGCACTTGGAGGAAAGATGGCTGAAGAGCTACGATACGGTGATGACAGGGTGACATCTGGTGTTTCATCGGTAAGTTTCAATTGAGAAGCTATAGCAAACATATACTCATTTCTCTTAGGATCTCGAGAGGGCCACCGACCTGAGCTTCATGATGGTGACGCTCTTTGGCATGTCTAGTGTTTTGGGACCAGTTGAATATGGCCGAAGATACGAGAACCTCAGTTCGGAAACAAAGGCAACAATTGAAGGCGAGGTTCAGAGGACAATACGAAAGTCGTACGAGGATGTACGAAAACTGTTGACGGACAAGCGAAACGAACTCGACTTGTTAGCCAAGGCTCTTGTTAAATACGAGACTTTGGACAAGGCCGAGGTGGAGAAGGTGATTCGCGGTGAGAGCCTCCCTGGGCGTATCACCGCCCCTAAGGGACCTATGACATTGCCTATCCCTCAGCAAGCCCCGACACCTCCTGGTCTCGGCGGTGTGGCTCATCCCCAACCTCCGGAGACACCAGCGCCACCAGCTGCAGCAGCAGACACATCAAACACTGAAGGGTGAGCCCCGAGGTTTGGTAGTGAAAAACACGCCGAGACTGGGGACAGAGAAGGCGAAGAGGATGCGATGGGTAGTTCCCGCCACATGCATTGTGTGACGCGTGGGAAAAAGCGGCGATGATCCAACTCAAGCGCATATTTCTACAGCGAGCATTGCGTATGGAATTGGATGGCATGCTCTTGCGAGACATGAACGAGAATGGGACTTCCTAGCGAGGGGCGAACTGGCCTGGGCATACGCTTAGCGATTGATGTCTATGTTGATATGGACTTTTATCCGTTGGAGCAAAGTGGCAATGTGAAGGAAGTCAGGAGCCAAGACGAGCCATCATAATCAACTAGGAATAGGAGGTTGATGCAGCGAATCTTTGGTATAGGCCTACACCAAGCGTGTATATGGAATTACCCTCTCGTTTATCAGTCTCGTCTGTAATAATTTATTTTGTATGTGTACTTTATGGATGGTTATGAGATATGTGATATCACTTCGGTTCCTTATTGTGAGTGACCAGATATGTACTTATATATATACATATATATTTATACATACATACATGATCTGATATGCTGGTGTCATCAAACGCGACCTTGGGGCTTATTAATGGGATTGTAGTTGGAGTTGGAGTGAAATTCTCCGGTAGCGGAAGATGAATAGAGAGTTATGTTGCATAGAGTTACAAAAGAGGAAGAGAACGTGGGGGAGGGGAAAGGGAATCGTCGAATCCCCCAACTTGAAATGACGAATGCGGGCCCAGTTTATCAAAGACCCCCCAACGTGTATCCGAGGTATAAGAGGCCATTGACGTCAAACGACGAGATATTGCGTCTTGAGACTCTTCTCTAACTATTGGTACACACTCAGCAAGTATAGAAGCTCAACTATACAATTGCATAACGTTCAATTGGCAAGGCTATCATCATGACAAAGGTTCTCCTCACTGGTATGTTAGTCACGAGATATTCACGTTGAGTCAATCACTAATGATAGCACAGGCGGCTCGGGCTTCATTGCCGGTATGTTGTGCTCTTGGGAACAACGAAGGAAGGAGAGTGCCCATCTAACGAGCTTTAGCTCACACTCTGGAACAACTCCTTGAAAAGGACTACGCCGTCGTGACCACCGTCCGCTCAGAAGATAAAGCCCAAAAGATCCGCAATGCATTCCCGGACAAAGCAAAGGCCGGAAAGCTAGAGATCGTTCTTGTGCCAGATATTGCTATGCCTGATGCTTTTGATGAAGTGGCCAAGACACCAGGACTTGACGCTGTTATTCATGTTGCCAGTCCCTTTCACTACAATATCAGTGAGTCTCAGTGCATCTTGGGCCATGCTTAAAATACCAGACTGACACTATCTAGCCGACCCTAAGAAGGATCTTATAGACCCAGCAGTCATCGGTACAACAGGTATTCTCAAGGCCCTCCACGCCTCAGCACCAGGCGTGAAGCGAGTCGTCATAACCTCATCCTTCGCCTCTATTCTCGACGAAGCACACTTTACAGACGGTTCTCACGTTTTCTCGGAAAAAAGCTGGAACCCCATCACCATCGATGACATTAGCAGCTCATTCATGACTGCCTATCGCGCCTCAAAGACTCTCGCTGAGCGTGCGGCCTGGGACTTTGTCGCTGAAAAGAAGCCCTCTTTCGATATCGTGACTGTTTGTCCGCCTCTGGTTCTGGGACCTGTATCAAAGCATCTTGCTACACTGGAGAGCATCAACACTTCCAATGAGAGGATTGTCAAGCTTTTGAGGGGCGGTTGGAAAGACGAGATTCCTCCTTGTACACCTGTTCCGTTATGGATTGACGTTCGAGATGCTGCTCGTGCTCACGTCAGAGGTCTCGAGGAACCTAACGCTGGTGGAAAGCGACTCTTTGCTACAGCTGGATGGTTCTCGCACCGTGAGATTGTCGACGCTGTTGCCAAGAACTTTCCAGAGTTTAAGGATAGACTACCTGGGCCTGAAGTCAAGGGCGGAGAACTTCCTCCCAAGGATCAGATCTTTAAGATTGACACGCAGGAGACGGAGAAGTTGCTCAAGATTGATTGGATCCGCATTGAGAAGAGTATGATAGATCTTATCAAGTCACTGAAGGAAATTGGTATTTAGAGGATGAGCTAGATAAGCAAGTATGTTACATAGAAGAAATAAAGTAAAGTACTGTAGTGAAAGTGCCTGTTAAGGATATTACATGGATTGTGTGACTCTTGACCACTGTTATCTGTGTCATCATGCATACATACATACATGCGTCGTGTACGATATCCAACGTCTATCTTGGTGATCCCATTATCTGTAGTCTCCGACATAGAATCATTTCTATAAACTCGATGTAGCTTCTGGTGCGGTATGGGCCTAAGTATCTCTGAAGTCTCAGAAAGGCATCGTTCCCTTTCGGGGTGGTGATGTGGGAGTTGATGGGCGGTAAGGAGGTGTCAATGGAAGCGCCCTGGTGGGTGGAGGCCCAGGACTAGCGAGCATGTTGAATGAAGCATCGCGAGATCTCGGGGGTCTTGGGGGAGAAGTTTGGGTGTTATAGCCAAGAGGTGCTATATGAGCAGAAGGCGGAGGAGTGATGATTCCATCGCTGAAACTCAGCGATCCATCATCCCTGACTTTTCCTCCATCAGGTGCCGTCATAACTATCATGGGAACTTGGTTGGCACTGTAGATCCTCGGTGTCCTCTCGTGCCGTGGCGAGAGTTTACTGCTCGTAGGTGAATACACGGGAGACGTAGGAAACCCATTCGGCTCATCAGCTAGAAATCTTCGCTCTCCAAGTCGTGCAGGCGGTGTAAGCGGGACGCCGTCAGGATCTGTATGGGAAATAGTGGGTGAAACCAAAGGCGTAGGTGAGTCTGCGCGAGGAGGCGGTGAAGATGGGTGTTTGATGAGTCTTCGAATATCGGTCTTGCGAGATCGACGTCTTCGAAGGAGGCAGAATATGAGGGCAGCGATGGCGAGGAGACCGACGACTGAGATGATGGCTATTGTGACTTTGACGCCCAAGGGCATTCCTTTGTTGGTATTGTTTGAGTCGCTGCTTGAGGGATCAGAAGTTGCGAGTGTTGAAGGGTCTGTTGTGGTGGAATATGTGGTTTCTGGTATTGAGCTTTGTATTGGAACTGATGTTGTTTCTAATGTTGTTGGCTTTGTCGTTTGGTGTAGCGTACTCTCTGCTGCTGAAGCCCTTGATGTCGTTTGAGATGATGCATCCTGTGACTTGTCTGTTCCTTTTGCTTGCTGACAGTCTTTGTCTTCGTTGAGTGATTCAGGATCACAAATGTGATATGGTTGTGGAGGACCCGGGTCTATTATAGAGTGGTATCCATGACTTTGATGCATTAGTATGAGCGAGTACTCGAGAGATATAGTAGAGATAAGCTTACTCTTGACAAGTATTGATGAGCCAATTCACATTCGCTAGACCTGTTAGCATCTCAACCACCCGAAGCCATCATCACATACGATCTTTTCCACCCTGACCCAGATTATCCACGCCACAAGCCTGAGCATCACAGCAATAAAGCGCCCGAAACGGCTGCTCCTTTTCCATCCAGTCCCTGTCTTGAAGAACCTCGCACACACGCTCAATTGTCTCACCCCCTAGCACCAGCTCCTTGAGGAACCTCTCCCTACACAAGCTGATGCATAGTGGCGGATCTTGAACATCAGGCGCAATGAAGCCCCAGCTGTGGCCGCTGCAGCCTTTTGTCTTGGTGGACATTTGAAGGAGTGAGGAAGAGGGGAAGGGGATGGGGATGGGGATGGGGATGGGGAAAGGAGAGGATGTGTTATTGATGGGACATGCTCTGAGGTTTCAGCTGAATTAAGAGGAGGCAACTCGAAGCGAGAGGGATATAGACGATAATGGCGGAAACAGAAACGGAAATGGAATAGACCAATTCATAAAAGAAAACGGGAAGAGGAGAGGGAGAAAAGAGAAAAGGGTCAAACGAGCGAGGTGAGGAATACTTGAGGAGACGGCATCTCACATAGTTAGCTTGTCCTCTTTTCTTGCCTCTGTCGAGCCTGGACCTATAACAGTTGCAACTGCAGCTGTAGCTGTCACTCTAATCGTCCTGTGATCAACAAATCACAAAACAAAGTCTCTAGGCCCAGGCCCCAAAAGTACGAAGCACAAACCGGTGATAGTTCCCACGGCAGGACCGGTAGCATGGACAAGTGCCTCGGTCGGTGACTCTACCAACATCATACAGCCTCAATTGAGTATGCAATGTAATGTAGGTCTACGTCTTTTGATTGTTCAAGTGTTACACGGCATCAACACTGCAGTTACCCGCGTCCGACGAGAATAGCCTCGTATGCCTTTCTCTCTCTCTTCCACCCACTCAGACTTGGTAGACACGAGGGGGGGCTTGCATCGTGGCGGACGGAGAATATTTCCTATACAAGAAGGTTTTCGAGGCCTCTTTCGTTTGTTTCTTCAGCAGGGTTTCCTAGTTGTGGCTGCCACAATGGATGGATGAATGATGGGTGGGAAAAGGACGGAAAGTCTAGAAGCCGATGTTTGTTGGTGTATGACATGACATGACACTATACAAGGTGACGGTGTTTGCAGGGAAATGGTAGCCGGAGAGTGAGAGAGCGTAGAGAGAGAGAGACATGCTTCAGCTGCGTTGTGTGTTGCAATGGCATAAACGGTCGTTGTTTGGCAGGCCAAGCGAGTATTCGACAAGGATGTTGCATTCTGGGTAACCAATTATGCTGAGTGTCCTTGTTTTCACCATTACAATATTCTCTCTGAGTGAGAATATGTACTGTATATCTTCTCTCAGAGACGACATGACAGGCAATTCTTGTCGAGGTTTCGAGTAAAAGGCTAAGTACTAATGCAAAGGATATGCACATACTATAGTGTCCATTTATATGTATCTATCCTCTTCTCTCGTTCGAGTTGAGTGAGTTCCCCTCAGTTGCGTGTTCACCGTTTGCTCGTGGTTACACAAGACCCTCTATCCCCACTGAAGCCATGTTTTCCCGCGGTTCGAAAGAGCTGAAATGCACTGCAGATTGCCACTTTTTAGAAGGGGTCCTCGTTTGAAGTTTGTTTTTCTCTCATGCCTATAAGACGGTATCTTGCAGTAGATCATCGACCCTCCGCATGTTCGATTCTGCTACTGGTAGACGCTGACACAATCAGAGACACATGATTCAACTCTGCATAACAATTGTTCCAAAATATGCACCTCGCTTTTGCGGTGAAGACGAGACATTACTACTGTGCTGTACCGTGTCTATCTAAGTACCTAGTGCACAACTCTGAGCTGAGTCGAGGCTGACTCGGCTCAGCGCATTAGTTAGTTAGACTCTTGTATGTAGTCCAGCGTCTACCTACATACAACGTGCTCTGCCCTGCCCTGCTCTGCTCACCCTCACATTGTGAAACAGAACCTCTGCAGCAGGGTTTATGTATGCACAAGGGACGAACGCCATCGACCTCTCACCGCATGAAATGAGTCCTACTCACGTGGGAGTTTCTCGAGTCTAGGCACTCGCCCCAAATAGAAACTTCTGTCTCTGTGGTATACACGATTGGCCGAGTCTGAACCTCGTATTTGGCGTTGGCTCTCCTGAAGAGCTGATAAACCCTTGCCTTGCACAAACTCAGCGAACCACTCACTACGCTGCCTGCTAAAGAGCAAGCATTACATACATACAGTAGGCCATACCATCCCGACGGGACTCGTCGACGTCATGACGATAGGCTCTTCGGGAGAGTCATCATCCGCATATGTGATGGATGACGAGCTAGCTATGCTATGGCTTCTTACTCGTCACTCTTCTGGTCATCACATTACACCAAGTGAGATTACTCCGAGTGCATCTTCTCTAGTGACTCTGTCCCAGTCCGTCACTCTTGGCAACTGTAGATTCTCCGAGATAGCGGATTACACACTCGAGTATATTTCCGCAAAGGGAGTCATCTCCTTCGTGATGTGTGACAGGCCGCGCAAAGGACCGATATCTTTCCCGAGGCCGATCATCAGACTGTGCAAGGTGAAGAAATAGTTGATCTCTATCAAGAATCCGACAAACAGCTTCTCAACCAAATCTAACGGATCAATCGCGAGCCTGATACATTTAGGGTTATGACGTTTGTACCATTGTGTTGCATCCAACCAGGTTGGACTACTACCTACCTTACCTAGGTAGGTAATGTGCTTGCGCAAATAACGGCGCCTACCACAAAATGCAAAATAAACTCCAAGCATGTAAAAAAGCATATAGAATATAATTGCAAAAAACAGCAAAAGATAGTTCTTTTGCCGTCAGCAAGACTCGAACTTGCGTTTTCAGTGCTTCGAAGAGCCACAAACTGATGTACTGACCCCTATACGATGACGGCTTGAGAGGATTTGATGCACGAGTGGAGTCATATTTTAGTACATAACCTACTCAAATGATGCCTTCTACCAAAACATGATTATGCATTGAACGCCTTTAAGTTATCCTTACGGAGGATATAAAGACTCTTATCATGGTCCAGCTGGAAGCAGTTGGCGACGACTCAAATGTACAAGAGCGTTGCGCTATATGTCACTACCATCCACAGGAAGACTCGGTGGTATTATAGTACCTAGTGTATATATACTACAGCATTACAGTACCAACCTTGGTCATCTTATGCTTGATCGACTGCATCTCAAAACAAAACATCACCTTCCGAGGCTAACTAGTAACCATGGCGGTATTTTTTTTTTCTTTGACACAAACATACAAGACATGGCGGTCACGATGTTACGTCCAGTCCAGTATATGCTTCCAGAGCATCAATTAAGAATAAAATAAAAAATATATCGAGTTCATACAAGAGCAATGAAATACCGTCTGCCCATAACCGGGTATAATTCTGCAGCACACCGACCCCAAACACCGGCCTTTCCGTTTCCGCGGAGTCTAATCTGCTAGCCGCATCCATATCACCTCCCGGGAAGCCTTGAGCTATAGTATGACCAAACGCGACCACCAGGTATAAAACAAACAGAAGAAAAGTGAAACAAGGAAAAGGTTAGCATCAAGAGCCATTCTGGTGCAAGTGGACCGGGTCCTTTTCTGTAGAGCCCCCAAACTTCTGTCTTGCTCAAAACTTCAACATCTTGTCAAGAGTCTTCTCCTTCCCCACTGTATACAGAGGTTGAACCTGAAACAAAGGCGTCTTGCTGCAGGTCATGTGTAGATTAAAAGTATTGTAAGTTGATGATGTATCGGGCTTTGTTTCTGCTTCCAAACCCTCGCTTCGTCCAAGATGATGGGTGCTTCCTAGTGTTCATCACCTCAATCATCATTCTAGAAGAACGATGGCTTAGCGAGAACACGGTACTCAATGTAGTCCTCGCCGTCAATATTGATGATAGTGCCTTGTGAAACGAGTTTCCCAGTAAATGGGCCTTGCGTCTTACGTTCATACTTCACCCCAGCATACATCTTCGCATCTTCGGCATTCGTTCTTAGTCGGAGGCTTTCCTGACGTGCCCAGACCTTATTAAGACGTTGCATTTCGTCCCGCTCGTGTAATTGTTGCCGCCCATTAACAGCTAGGCCAGGGATGTTCGCTGCAGCTGCTTGGGCTGCCTGAGCGGCCGCGGCTGCGGCTCGTTCACGGTTCGCTGCTTGCATGTGCGCGCGTTCCTGGGCGAGCTCGACGCGTGAAATCTCACGCTCCGCTAGAGCAGATGTTCTTTCGATCGCATTGTTGTTCACCGATGTCCTGCCCGTGCTTTGACGAGGAGCTGGCGCAGACTGAGGAGGAGTTTCGATATCTATGTATGACTGGCGTGCTTCGGCTCTAGCGGCCTCGACGCGCCGACTCTGTCGCAGCTCATGGCCACCATATCCCATTCGCCCTGTCTGATCAGATTCTTCGCCATAATCGCCTGGAAGACGGGGTAGAGCGGGTGCAATAGACAAGGGAGCAGGCGCCTTGTAATTCGTTCCCGCAGCCCTTGCCTGTGCCTCATAAACAGCTTTGGTCTCGTTTGAGGTTCGCTCCCCTTCTTTCTCTCCCATGTCTATCTGATACTGTCGAACACGGCAATATTCCTTGATCTCGTTCCGTGCTAGGTTTTGCAAGTGTGGCTCAAATGCAACTTCCTCGTATGCAATCCAGAGTGCACCAGCCCCAGCGGGGAAATTTCCTTCGACGAAACGTCCGTCGCGCGTCTCTCGTACCAGCTTAACGCGGAACATATCATTCTGTCCCAAGATCCCGTATACTGCATGGCGATCACGAGGGTCCGGCGAGTTAGACTTGGCCCAATGCCCAATGAGAATTCGAGTAGGTCTAGTGCCAGGCAGGGGATCAACGGTATGTCGCAGAGGTTGCGGGCCACCGGGGGCTGGTTGAATGGGAGTGTGTTCAATGACAGGACCATTTGAGGGAGGAGGATTGGCTGGCGCAAACCCTCCGCTCGTCCTCCTCCTTTTGGCATCGCGGTTCTGTTGCAAGTGTTCGGGGAGATCAACACCATAAGCAACCTGGGGTAGATTTGTGCCGTGTTCGGCAGTGGAGTTGAGATTGGCCCGACGGACTGCTTCTTTTACAGCAGCCTTCTCAGCAGCAACTCTCTCTCCCTCAAGCTCGTCTGTCCCAATCGCTTCGGCGCGGATCTTCACATACTCCTTAACCTGTAGCTGGTCTAAGCCCACAAGATGATCCAAAAACACAATCTTGTCGAAGGTTACCCAACTTCCGCCAGGTCCTGGTGGCAAGGGGTATTCGTCTGATATCGTTTCTCCAGATAATGTGGTGGGCTGGATACGGGTCCGTAATCGCTCGCGAATATCGATGAAACCAATGACGGCATGTTTAAGGTCCACTGTGGGAGCCTCCGAGTCTCTCCAATATCCAATGGTGACGCCTCTGACGCTTCCAGTGCTTGAACGTGGAGGTTTGCTCTTCGTCGCAGTTGCTTGTGGTTGTCGTTCGTCAGCGAGAGACCTCACCGGCTCCATCTTCCTTTCATTCAGGCCCTGGAAGATGGAGTTGCGTTTTCTCTTTGGATAGTGGGAAGCCACGGGCTCATCCTCAGCATCTCTCATAATCTCGTCATCGCCTTCAGATGCTGGCTGAATAGGGGACGATTTGCGAATACCGTTAGTGCGGGCGCCCACTACTATCTCGTCCTCAAGTTCGTTGAAGTCGACCCCTGACGGAGAATGCACAGTGCTCAGCGGCTCACTTAGCTCGCTTTCAGCATCTGCATCGCCGATAGAAATCTTGCGACCGTTGATCTGTCTATGAGGTTAAGTTAGATGTGATTCGTTGGCCAGCGCTATATTCTGAAACGCAGGGTGATATAAGACAAATGCGTTGAATGAAGTCAACCACTGCTGAACTCGGGCAAAAAGTAAGATGCCCAACGACCACTCGATCTAATAAAGCACCGGTGTATATAGTACAAGAAAAGATGCGGGCTGAGGCTGATGGGGTCCCGAATCCATCGTCGAGTTGAGGTGAGGTTTGTTAGGTTGATGAAGCCTGATGTGGTTGCAGGGGTGTATGGTACAGTACGAGGTGAAAGATGACGATGTTACAGGGGCAAGGATGTGAGACCAAAGGGGGAATGGGAAGAAGAACTGGGGTACCTGAGGTCTTTTAGAGAAACCATAGTCTTGGGTCCACACCCTGAGGGTGGATGTGAGAGTGCCTGGTTGGCTCCAAAATCCTCCTCTTCTCCAGGGAAAGGCCAAAAGAATAGTTGAGTTTGTCAAAAACGTTGAAAGATGAGAGTGTACGTTGGGACAAAACATAAGGAAATGAATGATACAAAAACGAAGATGAAAGCATGAGCAGGAAAGAAGGCTTGAGCCAGAATTAAACGAGAGAGAGAGAGGGAGAGAGACAATCGCTGCTGCCAGTGGTCACTGAAGCAGGAAAGTTGCAGTCCAGTCCAGTCCAATTCAGTTGCAGCAACATCTCCAACTAAAGAGAGTGAATGCAACTTGCGGCCGTGAGTGAGTGTGTCAGTGAGTGAGTGATTCAGCCTATTCAGTTCATGTTGGGCAACATTCGACACCGCTTGGGATCAGATCTTTCCACTTCCTTGATTCGTCGACGTTGATTAGATCCAGAAAGTCACCGTATCTTTCAATAAATCACGATGAGACACAGTCAGGCCAGATGCGGTCTACAACAATTACCCTTGTGTTGACAAATCGGGCAATGCCAGCTAACTTAGGCCGTAAACCCTTGTTCGAAGCCACGCCACTCGCTCACTCTCTGGCTCAATCACTTGACTGGCTGAGGACGCGAAGATATGATGGCGAAGCAATCGAGTACGACGTGAATGTTTTGATGAGTTTGGGGGAGATTTGAAGACAGAGAGACAGAAGAAAAAGAGGAACAACCCATAACAACAGAGATATGACTTGCCTTGGTGATGCGCTTATAACGGCAGACGGAGCAACAACTGGCGACTTTCCATTAGCAGTACTAGGTGAATGCGCGTTCACTGGTGATGGAGCGCGATCCTTAGCAACTGGAGCTGGAGTTGAGGCCCTTGGCAATGGTGATGGAGGCATGGCTGCTGGTGGAGATGCGGCTCGAGGTGCAGTGGTGGCAGATATAACAGTTGTTGCAACGGTGACAGGCGCGCTCTCAACCAAAGGGCTCTTAACCTTTATGGCGCGGGCAGAATCTGGCGTTGGAACACGAGTTGGTGAGGCAGCTCTGGAAGTTGAAGGCTTGGGAGCAGAAGAGAGCGCGGGTGATATGGGCTCAGGTGGCGCAACCGGCCTGGGCTTGTCGCTGTCGGTATTTTCCATGACGCGACTTGAAGGAATACCTCACTTGGCTATAGAAGCGCGAAAGAGTTGTCGTTAGTTGACTGGTTGCAGTTGATGAAAATGCGATTGGGTTGACTGTTGGGGGCGTTGAAGAGAAAAAAAAGACGGGAGACAGAGAATTAGGTGATGGCGCGTTATCAAAAATCGAGTTTAGGTACAGGTAGTTGCAAGAAAAGAACTGAGTTGACTTGCGCGTCAATGGTCGCAACTCAGGTTGCCAATTAATTACCTTGGGTATTACCTGAGGCTAAGGTAAGGCAAGGCAGCAGAAGACTAACTAGTACAGCCACTGCCACAGATTGGGAGGTGAGGTGAGGTGAGATGAAATAAAATAAGGTCACCTCAGGTAAAGTTGAAGTGGATGGCGTCGGGAAGCAGGAATGGGAGAGTCAAGACCAACACCCTGGTTGGTTGTTTGAGGATCTGATTCTGGAATCTTAGAGCCGGGGGCCCAGGGCTAAAGACAATAAGCGCAGTTAGTTTATCAACTTGGCAGATAGGAAGTTGACGAGTAAAGGACAAGAGAAGTGATTACGTACAGGATAACTCAGAGGTAGGTAGTTAGTTGTACGAGTTGTGTAGGTAGAGACTGAGGTCCATCGAGGAGTACGGAGTAAACAGGGCTCAAAGAGTGAGAGACCGTCGAGTTGACGATGAATAGTCAAGAAAGAGGAATAGGTAGGTGGGAAAGGGATAAGTTAACTTTGGGTTGAGAACGGACGGGAGAATGAATAGTAAGGTACGTGAAAGTCCAGGAATCTCGAAATGGGGGCGTGTGGGGCCCTGCAAAGAGCTAAGGCAAAAGTCAACAGTTACCTTACGTCGTAACGGAATTGCCAGGGAGCCCGGAAGAGAAGTTGTGTGGAAACGGTAGAAGAAAAGAGTGGATTTATAGATGCCTTGGTTAAATCTTACGAAATGAATCAATGACAAGCCAACGCTATCTACGTATCAGTTGAACCAACCCTTGGAGGCGAGGGAATCTCATGCTTGGAGAGCTTGTTCTGCAGCTGTATCAGCACTGACACGATATCTTACTTACTGTTGTGACTGGTCGATTGCTCTAAACTTCTTTTCTCCCTTGGTTACTAAGATTGGCTCTTGGACCTTAAGACCTGGCTCGCCCCTCACTGAACTGGAGTGAGTGACTGTGCCTTCGATTCTCATTCTTCGTTGTTGGAGATTTACGACATCAACCTGGCTTGTTCTGATTGGCCACAAGAGTTGCCAGCCTTGATTCAACATCACACTTCGGTGCACCAAGAGCAGCAACAACGAACTAAAGGTGGGAGAACGTCAAGGTTTATTGCGTTCATCAGGTAACTCGACGTCAGCTCTGCACATACTTAATGGCCATAAAGGTAGTTGTGTAGTTGACCATAGAGAGCGTTCCGTATCAGCCGTCAGTGCTTCCACCCATCATCTCGCTTTCAGCCATATTTGACCTTTTATGCCCACTCATCACTTCTACTCTGGTTTTTCTGACCTCTCTTTGTCTGAATGATAAATCCCCTTTCTTGTGGTTGCGAATGTTCACTCATGAAACATCCCATAGGTGGACGCTTTAGACCAACTCATGCAATGCTAAGCACACGCCAGGGAATATCATCAGCCACCCCCATAGGTTCACAGTCTCTTAGATAAGGTGTTGTCAAGTTCTGTACTCGATGCGACTCGATGTGCCGATACAGCAACTCTAATAATCAACAGTGGCCCTTGTTGTACATATTTTTATTGAACTTTATCACGTCGCATCATTTCCAACGTGTCTTTCCAATTCCCCTCATTGGCACCTATCGGGTTGTGCATCATTCTACCCGTGCTAGTAGACAACTACTGATGCATACACTGACACCGCTCCTCATAAGGCCCCGTGAATAGACGTGTAGGCGAAATGCCAAGGATACGAGATTCCAAATTGGTAGCGAGCGCTGTCCGGTTACAGAGTGATACAAGAACTCGTTCTCCTACCACTCACTAATCGCACCTAGGTTAGTACCTAATGAATGATTCAACTCTATGACTGATCGACTCAGCCAGCCAGCGCAACACCGCCCCCTAGCAGCAGCGCAGCACAGCACGGCGCCAAGACAAGCCTGGCTTGATAGCAACAATGATGCCACGATTTCCCATCAATAGTCACAAGCTCAAGCCAATAAAAGTAAACCCTTCCACATCACATCACAAGTCCCGACAACTCTCCCGTCCTTCTCTTCTCTTCTCCTCTCCTCATCGCCAACAAAATTAGCTCAATTCGGCACTTTCACGTTGTTAATTTGAAACCTTGACTTGTGGTAGCACCCCCAAAAGTCAATATCCTCATGTTGCATATGCCGGAAAGTGAAAAGTTGAGGCATGTGCTGATTGAATAGTGCCAGTACGTTATGATTATGATGACATATTTAGCTCCTTTTGGCCAATCATGTAACAGCATTGTGTTCCAGTTCTGGACCGTAGCCAATAGAGAACAGCGAGACTTTTTGCGGGAAAATCTGCAATCTCGCAACTTCATGGTTCCCGCGCTTATACGCACGCCCTCGAGACGCTAACACACGCCTCTCAATTTGGGCATCGTTCGTCTTTTATTGCAGTTCAGCTTCCTGTGAGAGTCATCAGCCAATTTATGTCTTGGTCAATCTCACATGAATATTTGATGGCAACTGTCCCTCTGGACTCATAACCATATGGTAAACTTTGCCGACAACCCAATTACACCGTGAAACTGCCGAGGTTGAAAAACGAAAAAGGGTATCAACCCTCGAAACTCCAACGGACATTTAGCTCAACTCAGCTCATCTCAACAACCGGCGGTTGTACAGAATTGTACAGTCACACACATAGTGACAGGGCTAAGGACGGATAAATAGCTCCATGCCGCTATAGCGCCCGTGGCCAGTCTTCTCGAATCCTGCCTCTTCTTTGCTTACACGAGTTGATGACTGACTTCTCGTCAGCGTTGCTGAGTTGCTCCATCTGGAGGTCGCCGATACAGTCAAGCAAGATAAGTATCTAGTACAAGTGCTTACGAAAGAATGAGTTCCTAGGACATGTTTACAACAATGACACCAATTCCGAAATGGCTATGCTCATCTACATTAGTATTTTGCCTCATAAGACTTGTGAAACTTGAACTCACAATACATGACTCGCTTGTCATCAGATTCAACGTCAAAGTTCCCAATCTCGTAACGTAACCGGGTCTTCACGATCGGCCCATCTCACCCACTAAGTCCCGACAATTCAACAACCCCTGTAAATTTTATTATTAAGAAAATTTGGACTCTCCTCAGGGTGCCAGAACTCTTTGAGATCTTCACATCGGGGGACGAAAATAGACTAGGTAGTTAGTAGTCAAAGAACACCTCAAGCTATCCTAAACCTATCTCGGTTTTTATGGCACTGAGAATTGTAAAAGTCCAAGTTTTCTCTCATTCCCTAGGCTTTTTCTCGATTGAATAGGCCGATAATACCCACTGCTAGGTCGTCCTGGTTGGTTATCATGAGTTACCGTGCCTCTCTGCCAATTATGCACGTCTCGCAAATCACCAACTCTTTTACTGTGTATGGTTAAGACAAGTCACAGCGTCGCGCCAATTATGCTTCTCTGCATTGTCTATCATCATAATATGCCTGTCTGAGTTTCAAAGTCTTTTATGCCGTGTTGTCATTAATTCCCTCATTTTTGTTGGTCGACTTCTGCCAAGTTGAGTTGTCAACTTCTTCAAATAGTGTCTCGCTGTGATCACAATGTGATTCGTCCGCCACAACTGCATATTCGCTCTCTGGAACAACGCCACTGTCGTTCTTGTTCAGGGCAAGGATTTTGTGTTCCGGACATTCGACGGTAACCGAGTGGAATTGTCATGTCTGTGAAACGCCTCCCGGGTAGCACATAATTGCGACTGGTTGAACTTGAAGACAAGCGAACCAGTCGATATTCTTAGCCGAGGGTTGCCTGTTTAATGTAAAACCTGACTCGCATCTCATGTTGAGATACAGCTGTGGGTGAACTACCAGGGCTGTGAATGTTTTCACTCATCAAAACTGTTGGTGGTAATTATCCCCGGAGTGCAAGAAGACTTCTGACGTTGAATTGAGCTGCCAAAATTACTTAGTTCAAGATTCACTAAATCTATACTAAATTTATCTAGACTTACCTAAGGACTTTTTTTATCACCTAAGACAGAGGTCCTAAGTTTTATTGCACCCCCTTGTTATGTAGTTGGGCACGCATGTCGCATTCATAGTCAAAAGAAGCTGCCGTACAACCGGATTTTGACGTCAATTCATTCGATGTCGTTGCATTCATTTCTTCATTGTAGCTGACATCACCTTCCCCGTCCTCGACCACGGCCTCTACCCCGACCGCGTCCTCTGCCTCCACCACGACCTGTCTTTGGTCCACCTCTCTGGCTGCCTTGATTATCAAATCTCTCAAACAACCTCTCCTCTCCAAATGCCCCCTCTCCAAATCTCATAAAGTTGACGAGGCCGCGATCCACAATCGCTACCAGCACATTGCGGTGTCCGTGCTTTATTCGACGGTACATCCATCCTCCGGGGCCCTTCCAAGCCTCACTGGGCGGGTCGTAAGGTGTAGATTCTAAAAGAGCCCCGATTTGTTCGAGCGTTGGAACGTACGTGTCGCTTGCGTCAACCACCGCAAAGCGGAAATCAGGCGGTGGTGGGTTCTTTTTCGAGAACGGCGGGCCACCTGATTTCCATACGTGAAAGAAAACCCGCCAAGGATCTTGGGGAGGATGAACCATGGGAGGTGTAGGTAGTGGCTTGTGGCGGGGAAGAATGGCAAGTTGGTCGTAGATAGGTCTATAAGCGCGGTAAAGACCTGGTTGGACAAGAGGTCCAGATGGGTTTCGCTTTGGTTGTGATTCTGAGCTGAAGAAAGAGAATAGCCACTGCCATAGAGTCTTGGACTGAGGTGTTGGCGCCTCATAGGGTGGTGCGCGCAGAACGTAGAAGCCTGCTCGCTTCAGATGCGAGTAAACCTGGTATTGTGGTAATGTGATTTTACCCCTCTCACCCTCGTTTCCGATAAAAAGTGAGTATGCCGCCTCAAGACTCAATGGCAGTCCGGCATCATAGTCGTCGAGTCCCATGTCCGTCTTTGGTTTTCCATCACCGCCAGGTAGGATGTCCTCCAGTTGTAAATTTGGCCACCAGAGATCCATGGTCCCTCTCTCGATGAGGAAAATAGCCTCCTCAGGCAAAAGCCAGATTTTCCCCGTACCCAAGCGCTCCTTGTATGCAGGTACCGCCCTTCCAATATCTTTCTGCCATGTTCCGCGCTCATGCTCAACCATGACAACTCTATCACGTAGCCATAAGCCCTCCTTCTCACCAGCTTCCTCTACCTTGGCCCACCAGTCGGGAAAACACCATCCTCGAACCCATGAATCTTCGCGATGTATCCTTGTGTAGCCTAGGACATTGTCCAAGACAGTGCGACTGGCTTCGAGAAGACCATCCTGTGCACGGGTGCCATGTGACTCGAAATCTTTCTCGCCTTTACGAATAGCTTTGCTTGATACGCCGTGCTTGTCAAACATGGATAGGAAGAGCTTAACGTCCGGCGCGTCATCATCAACATCTTCTGGAGCAGCACCACTGGTGCCTTTGGCTGGTTGTGCTGAGGTATTGGGATTATCGTCATCGTCAAAAGCCATGGCGATTACACGGCGAAAGAGCTTTCTTAAGCTTCAGATGGTTTTGAAATCGCGTGAGATACTGTCGGAAAAGGCTTCGGAGGCGCCGAGAATAATATTCGGTCGATTGACGTGAACTGATGTTGAAAGATAATTTTATGCAAAGCTATGAGCTCCGATATTGATATTTTCTGCCCCACCAAAGCTGTGGTAGTATATACTCTAGCAGCGTAGCCATTTCTAACCACCAACGAATCATCATCGCTAACTTGGCCGAGTGGTTAAGGCGCTGTGTTTAGGTTCTCATCAGAAACCAAACCCGCAGTGGGAAACCGCGGAGGTTCGAACCCTCCAGTTAGCAAAATAGCGATTCAATTTTTGCTGTTCCAGTTGTCGCTTAAACGTTTTGTTTATTCGATTTGTTTCTGGATAAATTGTGCTGCTTGCTTGAGAGTCATATATTTAAATGTTTCCAATTAAATGTTATTTCCATTGTTTTTCTCGACTATAATAACCTTGCATTGCTTCCCATTGTCTTTAGAAAGTATTTTCCTTGATGCAATCTCCTCCAGGTCGACTTCAGCTCCTTGTGCTGTATTTGTGACCCTACTCTAGCCATACACTAATCAGTCTATAAGACTTATGGCTTCATAAGATTCACTATATCTCATTCATATATCACTACAATGTGTAGAACATTTACATCGTGCACTTGCCCACTGCCTGTGCTCATTCCTTTGCCCGAAGCGCCTCCGGAACGCCATGAACTATGCCCGTTATTACAAGAGCCCTATCCCTTCTTCGCCAGTTTCCCCAAAATGCAAACACCCCTGGGTATAATTCAACTGGAGGGAAACCTCGATAGCTCAGTTCCGTTATTGCCAGATCCTTTCTTATGCCGTCGTACGACCTATTTCTCTGCCGTTGTGCCGTTACGCTAGATCTGGCATGGGAGATATACTCCCGACGCGGCTTCAGTTGCGGCTCATTGGCGCAACGGCGTCCTGCCATCTTCGGGTGAGCGTGGCGCATGGCAAATAGGTTCTTAAAAACCATCCCTGGACCTCCTAGTTTATCATTCGATGAATGGCTTCTTCTGGCCTCCAACCATACATAGGCCCAATGCTCGTAATGAATCGCGGTCGTTGGCGAGAATAACCGTCGGCGCAGGAAGCATCGGGTTGGCCGGATCGACGTGAGAAGCGTCTTTAGCCGCCTGTTCTATAGCATCCATCTCTTCCTTACAGGCCTGTTGATCTAGGGGGCAGATGACAATCGGCTGTCGTATCATTACATCTCGAGCACCACTAAGATTGACCTTGGACTGTTAGCGCAGACGAGGCATGGAAACCCAAAGGGCGCATACCTTAATAACCAAGTAGAACTCGATTTTGTAAAGGGTAGAAGACGTGGTAAATGATGTGACTTCGTAAAGAGGAAACTGAGGCTTCCCCCGCCTAACAACGCCGTCTGGATCTCTCAGATCCTTGGATGGAAAATCCAGCCCGATATTCGTGGCGTAACCCGCCTCTGGCATCTTTGTCTTAACCGATTGGGTCTGTTTCGAGACCCTGTTGATCTTCTTCGTAGGCTCATCACCTTCTGGGTTGAATGTGATTTCCTCCTCAACAGTCAAGGTAATCTTTTCAATTGTGACGCGTTTCGCTTTACTTAGCCAGTCGAGATTTGGCGACAGTTTGATATAGACTGTGATGGGATCCTTGGGGCCGTAGCTCCACCGGGGTAGATTGATGCCAAGGTGTACGATATTATCGTTGGTGACCAATTTGGATTCGGGCTTGTTATACATTCCAAATGTAGAAAGTGTATCATAGCGTTGTAAAGGTATGGGGAAAGTGTACTTGTACTGGTTGCTGTGGCCTTGCTGAACAGTAACGACGAGTTCGTAGTATGTTTCTGCGGTTCGGCTGGGTAGTTGGAGGGACGCTGGAGGTATACGCCGATTCGACTCTTCGCCGCCGCGACCAAAAGGAATAAACAAAACAAACGGTAGATCCATAGCAATAATCCTCTCGGCCTCCTTTCCAGATGAGCAGCGAAAGAGAAGCTGCTCTTTTCCGACCAGATCCGTGGTCTCGCGGCGGGGGGCGCCTAGATGTCGTTTCGTTATGCTATCGGCATCGGGATGTATTGTTTCTCGGCGCTGAAGACATATTCGAACGAGGGAGACAGGTACGGGCATGGAAAAACCCTGGCCAGGGCGAATCTCGACTTTTCCTTCGATGCGCGGCTACAGAAACCAGCAATGTCAGCATAATGAGGTCCGGCGCACTTGAACTGGTGAGGTAAGGATGAGGGCGTAAGCAAAGACGAGCTGAAGCTGAAATTGACGTACCAGAGTCGCAGAGATACCAGGATAGCCCACGAGAAAGCTACTGTTTGGAGGACCCGAGACCCTCACGCTCGCAGGGCCCGACATGATGGTGGTTTTGTTGATGCAGCGTCAGGCTTAAGGTTTGTGAGGCCCTGTGAGCCGAGTATCCTAGTGAGGGACGGTACCTAGAGCGGCGGTGTCGAGGGGGGGGGGGGGGTGGGGGGGGGGGGGGGGGGGGGGTGACGGCGACGAAGCGGGATCGGGAACGGAGGGGGCGGCTGGCTGAGCCCCGATGTCGACGAAAGCGTCGGGCTACGCCAGAGCCAGGATATGCAGAGAGTTGCGATGCCAGAATTGAGCGTAAATGCTGAGGAATTGGTGAAGTATTGGTGTTCATGAATCCAAGAGTTGCTAAGCGTCGCTTGTAGGTTGGTGGAGGGGAAAGTTTATGGAGCCCTGGCGACGAGACCAGTAGCTGTGTGCGAAAGACAGACAGCGGCGGGTTGCTTGTGTTGGGGTCCTAGGCTACAGCCTTCAGCTCCCACTAAAGCAAGGATACCTACCGGTTTACTTTCTCCAGCTAGGTAGTTACCGGAGGTGTTATACTATTCACAGAGTGCGGTTGTCTATGAGGAATGCGTCAATGTTGCCAAGATCTTGTTGGGTGGGGGCAACAAGCAGCGCTCTGGTTAATAATTCGACGTGCAGTGAGTTGAAGAATATCGGAAGACGCTATGTTGTTGAAAATGACGAGAGCATCACCAGCCAGGATGACGTCTGAAGATGGAGGGAGGGGTTGTTCAAGCTTCGAATCGGACCAGAAGCCGGAAGAAGCAGGTCAATAAGCAGAAGTGCTTGCAGCTAATGAATGAAAGAAGAAGCTGATCCAAAGAGAAATAGATAGTTAGGTTAGGATAGTTACGGGTCGGATGGGAATGGCATGGGATGGAAGACACTGGAGGCTCAGCCTAAACGTGGAGTGCAGAGTGGAGTTTATGCAGGTAAAAGGAAGGGAATCGGAGCTGAAGCTGAAAGATGCAACCCTCTCTCTCAGCGGTCTTCGCAGAAACGAAACGAGAGAAACGTCAAAGAAAAACAGTGGCAGAAGTATTGCTTTTTCACCGAAACAATAAAACCCCCCAGCCCGCCTGTAAAAGGCCCTAATACTAAGCGCTTGCCTTTCCTCTTCCCTTTTCGACGTGTAATCAATTTACCAGGTTCAGGGTCCTGTCAGCATTCAAAAGCGCCTTTGCCAAATCAGAACATTTGATGGAAATCCGTTCATCTCACGCGGTAAGGCAGTCTCGAAGACTTAAGGCTGACTGCCCAGACAATATGTGGAGGCGGCGATGATGAGAGCGAAATGAATGATATTCGTATCGTATATGAAGGTAACTCAGATTAGTACTTGGATATTCGATATTGATCGAGTAACTGTTTAAGACATCGATATAGGTAATGTCTTGGCTTAATAGAGTTATTCTTAATTAGCTCGTTGACCAACTCTTAATGCTCTTAAGCTGCACGGTCGTTGCTGCAGCACCCGCTTAGTTAGTAGAAAGGTACAGTATGAAGATACTGTCACTGGATTGGGCCATCAGATCCATGTGATCGCTAGTTCCATTCTTTAAACATGGATGAATATTACCTGCGTGTAACCGAGTCTCGTTTCCGCTATTGGCTAACGTCTTACAAGAGATTGTGCCGAGATATATGTATGCAACATTCTCTACCTAATACGACATGAGTTTCTCTGAAATACTGATATTTTCTATATCAGTCAATGGACGAATGCTTTCATTCCTGCCAAGCATTGACTTTCAATCAAAATCGTGGCGGACGGGAATAAGCCCAGTTTATCCCCGCTGTCGTCGATCAAGATCGGCATCCAAGGAGCCACTTGTGGCTGGAGACTCCGTCCAGATATCTCGAGTTCCATCTTCGGTACTACAACTTCGATCCATCATTTTTCACATGGACTCGAGAAATCCTCATTCTCACCATCATAAAATCTCGTTCATGCACAAAATTCAGCGCAATGTGGCTATAGCTGAAAGTCCATATCAGTTCATGCCAATTCTGCCAAACACAACCTCCCAAAATAATAGTACAGCTTATCTACCTTGTTTATAATTATTGTTTCCTTCTTCTCTTTACTGTCGCTGACTTGATTGAGCTACCCTTTTCTGGCAAGGTTCTCTTCTGCTGTGTTTCACCTGTTGTCAAGGCCACTTGTCTTTCAATGCTCAGCATGCTCGTGCCCTTGTCTTCCTTAGAGTCCCTGTCAAGAAGTCTTATGCCGTTGCCCTGGTGTTCGAATATAACCGTTGGGCGATCCAAGTCTTTGAACTCGGCCGGGAGCTCTACGGTATAGGCTTCCTTATGCCGTTCCCATCGTTGATGGCCTGGCATGCGATCTGCCCCGAGCACATCGCGCCGGTCTTCTCCGAACCAGAAGGTTGGTGCTCCAGGAGCTCCAGAGAAGTAGCACACTTGAAACGGAAGCATTCCAGACAGGCGGCATTCATCTTGGCCCTTATACCGTGCGGCTATAGCTTCCTCAGAGACATCCTCGCCATTCTCCAAAGCCTCTTTATACCATTCGCTCAATGGCTTGCTTTGGTCTTCTGTTGAGTCAACTAATACCATGACTGGTACGATCCCACCGACTTGTCGACGGGCGTTCGGAAAAACTGGCTCTTCACCCACAAGTGACTCCCCGTTGTGTCGGCAGATGTCAACGCGTATCTCATACAACGCTGCAACTGTGGTTGAACTTGCAGTTACGACTGTTGTGTGAGTTTGCGCTGGGTACGTCTTGCTGTCGATAGCCAGATAGGCTATATCGGTCTTGTGCAGAGAAGGATGAGTGGCGCCACTGTCGAGTTGCATAAAAAAGCATACTCGGGGCGCCGTATTGTCATCTTCGACAAAGCACATGCTTTTCTCGGGCGTGCCACGTTCCCTCATTCTCGTCTCATATTGAAGGACTTTTCCAGTATCCATGCGGTTAGGATCTTTCAGCCTTGAGGCAAAGCGGCTATGAAATCCCTTCACACGCTGGAAGCCCATGTGGATAGACCACGCATGAGCATGGTAGTCCGCCAGAACGCCCCAGGTCCCGGAAGGCTGGGCCCAAGTGGCGGCCATCAACTGTTCAGGCTGGTAGTTGCCCTTTGGTGCTAAAGGTGCCTCATACCACAGCCAGCCATCGCCGTGCATGCTGTGATATCGATCGAGCCTCTCGTCTCGGTCAAGGGTAAAAGACTCGTACGAGGGACAGATGTCTACCACGTTACCAGCATACAGAAGCGTCCACTTGTCCCAGCACTTAATACGCCCAGACTGATATGCCTGAATCGCAGCGCGTATGTTGATATCGCCGACTGGGCACTCACTTCTCTCGAGTGATGCTTCTAAAAGACTTATTCGTTGTTGAATCCGTTGTCGTTTGGTTGTCTCTAGCTCATCACTGCAGGGTCAGCACATATGTCATCATAGCCCTTCGAGGGGCTGACTTACACAGGCATCAAGTTTTCGTGGGTATCTTCCATCTGTGAGAATATTTGTCTGGCTTTGTGTAACTGTTGTTCGAGACCAGATAAGTCTGCTAACGGCTGAGTTATCCGAGCATTTTCGACAATAGCATCCCACTGAAGAACTGATCGCTCTGCTTCTTCCAGACGACTCAGATTATCCCCAAGAGATTGGCCAATGGCCAATGGTGGTTTCCAATCCGGAGGAATTGGCCTTCGGGCCCTAGAGGGCTCATGATGAGCAGAGGATATTTGTGCAGATGCATTAGGCGAACTAGTCGATGCTGCCGTCTGTGCCCCTTGAATTTGCGCAGAATAGCCTTCAGCTGCTGCTGATGCTTCTTCTTCTCCCCCTTCTTCTTCTACCGTGGGAGGCGGTGCTGAGAGCAGCTCTGGTCGCATGCTTTGAAGCCGCTGGCTTCGTCTAAGTCTGAGGTTGATCTCACGATTCGCTGGAGATCTGCCTGGACGCTGTCCAAGCCCAGAGGCAATCGTTGTTCCTTCTGTTTGCCGGCGAATCCGTCTCCCGGAATCCTTCTTGGTTTTCCCGCCATTTTTGTTAGCCATAGTTGCGCGATTGCTTTGCTACAGACAGGAGAGCAGCAGTGGATGAAGGATTGTTCAGACTTGACTATCTCAAACCATTCCGTATGTTTTTCTATGCCAGCACAAAAGCTCAATTGTACCGACTTCAGCTCATTTCTTTGTCTCCATTACGGTTAGGCATTGCGACCATCTTGGATTGTGGCGTCACGTTAACAAACAAAGAAACAGCAGATTGCCAACCTTTCACTTCATTCTGAACCCCAGCGTGATTGCACCCCGGAGCAATTTTGTCCTAGTGGATATATTTTTGGCTTCCTTGTACGGGAGTTCTGTGCTCAATGCGGAGCGGGCGTGCCGACTTCTTTGTTGGACTTATTGTGAATGAGATGATAGAATATGTCAATGCCCATGCTGGCCGTCCCTGAATGCATTTCTTTGTTCATTCTAGGCAGATGATGGAACAGTCAATGTTTGTATTGACTTGGTGAAAGAAGAGTAGATAGACTCTTCTTCTTTCATTTCATTTCATCTCCCATTTCCTCTAGTTTCCTTTTTTCTCTTCTTCAACCTGGCCTGGAAGCTCACCGCCTCCTTCACACTCATTGTTCACTTGTCTAATAGCCTTTTGAGTCTGATACCGTATTTTCAATCACTGCCAACTCATCATGGATGAGCCTATGGATGAAGGAGGCCCTTCGCGCATCCCCGGGCTGAACCTGGCTGGTAACCCCCCTTCGGAAAATGCGCCAGCTTCTGCGAGTCGCCTACCCGTGGCTCGTCGATCAGACAGAATCCAGGACCTCTTGGGTAAGGCAGACTTTGGCTTTTGTGTGTTAGACATACTTACATGCCCCAGAAATAATTATCTTGACTTTCCGCTTCGATTTCGAGCGCCTCCCGCCTGAAGCCCAACGATCGTACAATCGCTTTCTAGAAAACAAGAGCTATAATGAGTTCGCGGCTACACTGAAGCGCTTGGTATTGGGTAGAAGACTGGACGGCTTCATGCAGGGATCGTCTAATTGCCTGATTGCTGTCACAAAGTTATTTGACAGTAGATACCCCCATCTAGGCCTCAAAAAGCTCCGTGATGGTATGAAACAATATCCTTCAAAGGCATTCCATATACTGACTATGGGCTCAAGACTTAGTGAGCGGTAGAAAGAGAGCTGGATCGGGGGCCTTGTCACGTCGCCGGTCACCACAGTCGTCACCACGCCGAGCACAAAAGGAGGCCTTGCGTGAGACTCGAAACGAGCAAGCCGGCGAATCTTCACGGCGTAAGTAGCATTAAGAATCATGATACATTCTTCCTATTAACTTTTATAAGGGACCTCTCAAGCAAATTTGGCTAGCACCCTTACCTTGCCTGGGCGAGTTCGTACAAGAGCACGCCCCGAAGGCCGAGTGGTGCATTGGGCTCGAATCGAACCCAGTTCCACTCAGGCTGAGCCAGAAACCGCCGGCCTTTCGAGTGATGTTCCGCCTACTCCTATTGAGCCTGCAGAGCCTGCAGATAATCTGGAAGACCAGTCTGTCCCTACCCAGAGGCCTTTAATACCCAGTTTCGTGATTAGTACTCGAACGGCCCCTGTAGACCAAGGCAGTAACCAACCAGCAGCTGAAGGGTCCGGGCCTGAACAGACACGCCGAGAAGAGAATATAGCTTGGCTGAAAGACTATAACGAAGCACTCGGTGGTCCAAAGTATGACTTTAATCTACACCCCTACAAGGGATGGAAGATTGAGCCGCCAGAGATCCTACTTCATCGTGCGAGAAACTTCCTTGCCGATGAAGATATCGATCGGACTCCGAACTGGGGCCAAAAGATTGCAGAACTGACTGAATACTTCTCGTACCTTCTTCACAATTGGCAGGGTGAAGAATGGGGCGCAGAACTACATGAAGCTATTGACATGCTTCATACCCACTGGCTATTTGAGCAGTATCACTATGGCAAGCCCGAGCTGAACCTCAAATTCGATAATTTGTGGCCAAAATATAGTAAGAGACTGCCACCAGTTCCTGGTATCGAGGTCATTGTCGAGAAGCCACAAAGCGAAATGGCCGAGCGCAGACTGCTCCTCAACGAGATTCGACCAGCCATTGATCTTCACTACAAGTTGTCTCGCGATGATCTCGAACGTTACATCAACCTCTATGCATCCGAAGCCTCCAAATTCTGGGAATCTGCACCTCATTCGCGATCTTCCCGTCATGAGCTCGTCAAGATTGAGAACAAGGCCTTTGAGAAGTGCGTCTCTTCGGGCATGTCAACAACCGGCAGACTCATCAGAAGATCTGAAGCAAAGTTCAAGTCGGAGTCTCACCAAAACAACTTCAGTCAAGGTGCTCTTCAGGCGTTTGCCACGTTTCGTGGAAGTCAACGAGCAGCCCTCCAACAGACCTTGAACCAAGTGGACAATTCTGAGAATCTTGCAGTCTGCAATATTTTCCGCACGCTCATCCTACCGCCACCTAAAATACCAGAGAAGCCAGACGCAGGTGTCCTCTTTTCTACTATACAAGTAGCAGATGTTCCTGAAGAGGAGTCTCGTGACCCTTTCAGCTACACTGTGGCGCATAGATGGTACCTCGAAGCAGAGCGTTTCTGGAGAGACTGGGGGGACGAGTACGCCCTCAAACAATGCTATAGTCACAAGCAATGGGAGGAACGCCAACAGCCCATCGTGGATTTGCCTAAGAACTGGTTGGGTCCTTTCGTTTACGATTTTCTGGATCACGACATGAAGAAGACTCTGGAGTTGCTGAGGAGATGCGAAATCCTCCTAAGGCGTATACTCCTACAAGACGAACGAGTACCGCGGCCCTTCCTGGCCGACATGACACAACTGATGCTTGCGGGACTCTCGGGTAGGCCTTGGAACGAAACTGAGCTGGACTTCAAAGGGGAAGATTTCGTCTCTGGCTCACAGGATTTGGCTCACATCCGTCCCTTGGAGGAAGACTTTTTGCGATTATTGGGTATGGAATCCATCCATTCCAATACTGTCGACCCAGAGATCAACCATGATGGCCTCAGTCCCCTCTCTGCCATATTCGAACAAAGAGTTAAGGAAATCATGTATCCGAGGGGCTCAGCCAGTTCCGGATCTTACGACTTTGCTGATTTCATGGTGTCACTCAACGAAGTATGTGATGGGCCAGTGAAGCGCTGGAGATTCTCCAACGAGGAGGCCTTGGAAGAACTGCAACTTCTTGACAGAAGGGGAGTGATTGAGTAAGTCCCCTATATCCACCCCATAGTAAGATCCATTTTCTAACAGAGTAGATTGAATGAGGACTACAGTGTGTCGTTTCCTGCACCCAACCTTCATCCTGAGCAACGCGTTCGGTGGCTCGACACTGATGACGACCTGGACGCATACATGCAAGTTGTTCAAGCGAATAGGTGTGGTCAACCCGACGATGACGACGGCGATGATGGTAACGGCAGCGACGATAGTGGTGACGGCGACGACGAAGATGAAATTATGACCATCTCAACAAACGTCAGCGTTCCAGAGTCGGAGGATCTTGGTAACTACATGTTTGGTCTTCCCAAAATTGAAAACCTCCGCAGTTGGGTAGGGCTTGGGACTGCAAGTGGCAGAGAGGAAAGCGACAAAGATATGCCTAGAAACCACAGGTTCTTCCAACGCATCTGCTTCCGACTTGGAAAGACTATAAAGGACCTTCGAGAGAGGATGGAAACATACAGGAGGCAGCTTACACCGGAGGAGCAAGACCGTAACCGCTATTTTCTCGACACAATGGTGAATGAATGGGAATCAAATACTAGAACACGACCAGACTTGCATGAGTGCAACCCCAACAAACCATTGGACCAACTTTTCGCCCAGCCAGACTACGCGGAAATCATGCATGTATGCTACAACGATCATGATTTTGGTGAGATGGGGTACCCCGAAATCACTTACGGATGTCAGGACGATAATTACAGGCTTTCTGTTGATATCGTTCGGAAAGCAATTCTCCGCGAGGCTTACGAGAACAAGAGTATGCTGTTTCCAAACCGTATTGATCGCAGCGTGGATGAAAAGGGACTGTGGACTCGAACCCCTCTTCGACGTGAGCCAGTTTGGTCCTTTGCTCATCCTGATCGGAGAGGCAAAGCACCACGGTTTTGGGACATCAACCGTTGGCCGCTTCATCTGCAAAGCGAATCGACAGCCGAGAGCATCAGATCTGGACGATTCCACAAGCCTGTTCCTTCGCCTCTAGCACCAGAATCGACCAAGGAGCCACGGATCTCAGGACGTTCTACTACGTCTCCCGTATCACCTATCTCGCCCGTATTGCCCAAGGTTCAACGAGAAGTGCATCGCGAGGTCCAGCCTGGAACCACGACTATGAACCCTGACATGACTGAAAACATGGACACATCCGAAAGTCAAGTCTACAGTTTCCCTGGCTTTGGTGAGGGGTTCGCTGTCACGTTCCAGGATCTAGCGGATTCTCGTCGAACTTTGACCACCGGATCTTCTCAGTATTTCCTTGGAGACACGCCTCTGCAGAAGAAGTATATCGAGGATCGCATCAAGAGTGGTAAGCATTGACATATGTAGTGCCAAACTCTGACTAACATGTTGCTGTAGGTATAGAGATAGAAGAACCACCTACTTGGACTCGACGCCTAGGTGCTCTATTTGGTCGTCAGAACGTCCCAGTGGATCCTGGTGCGCTGCCTGAGGTCAATCCTCGTGATATTCCCCAGAGTAAGCCTCGAAGCGAGCCCGAGGTTTCAGACGATGAGCCTACTCAAGGGGAGGGCTCTTCTGGTGGAAGTGAAGATGTTGAAATGGACGAAGCTGCGATGCAACTTTGGAAAGAATCTCAGGCTGTCCCATCTTCAGAACGGCGCTCATCTAGTGCCCAGGCACCTTCACCAATTGACCCAGGGGTTCCGACTGAGCCTGATTCTTCCTCTGTCTCCCCTGTAGAACCTGGAACTACTCAGGGAGAATCGAGTAGCGTTTGGGGACAGGGCTTGCCCGGGGCTTTGCCTAAGCGGCTGAGACTCAGACAAGCGACAACCGAAATACGGTCTCGCCCGGTTCAGTTGGAGATAATCGAGTCGGAGTCTGAGTTGCCAGAGCAGCAAGAAGAGAGCGGCCAGTCAGAAAACGATAGTTTGTTTGGCCCGTAGTGAAATATGTAACTGATTTCGGCTTTTCGACTGTCGAGGAGGGTCTACTGCGTTATCCTTGTATTGGTTGTTAGGAATGGGTGCTTTAACTAGACTTGGGTATTTGGAGTTAGTTTTGTGTGATTAGCTTAGTCCTTCAGATTTCACCATTCTTTTATCACCACACGCAGGTAAATAATGAGGGACAGGGACCGATGTTTGTTTTGCAAAAAAAGCAATCATGAAGGATGAAATTTCTTTTTCATTCAGACCTTAAGCCATTATTTCTCATAGCCTCAGATCCGACGTGTCCTAACCGGCCAACCTATGCAATGAAACACAAGGAATCGTGACTCCGCGGCACCAGTTTCCAGCTCCCAGCATAAAACTTTCCCGCTCTAGCTCTAGTATCGCTTACCCTCCCGCAGTGTGTCGGCGTACTCGTCCAGGGGACTCTTGATGAGCTTGGTCTCCTTCCAGAGGTTGGGGGTAAGGAAGCCGTAGGTGTTGGAGACGGCCACAAAAGTAGCCTTGAGGGTGTTCTCGAGGGTCTTTGTGGAACCGGCGGAGGAGGTGTAGGCGTCCTCGACACCGGCGAGCTGGAGGAATCGCTTGACGGCGGGAGAGGCAACGAGGCCAGTACCACGGGGAGCGGGGATGAGCTATAAAAACAGTCAGTATTTTCAAGGTCTTTGTTTCGAGGATATTCGCTTCTTTTTTTTTTTTTTTGGGTGTACGTACACGGACGGTGACGGAACCACACTTGCCAGACTCCTTGCAGGGCAGGGAGTGAGGCTGACCAAGGTTGGTACCCCAGTAACCTCGTCGCACGGGGATGACGCTGAGCTTGGCAATGATGATAGCGGCACGGATGGCGGTAGCAACCTCCTTGGAGGTCTTGATACCGAGACCGACGTGGCCCTCGGAGTCACCAATGATGACAATGGCCTTGAATCGGGTTCGCTGACCGGCACGGGTCTGCTTCTGGACGGGCTTGATCTGTATTTGTGAATGACGAGTTAGCAAGCCGATTTTCCCTTCCAATGATTGCGTGTTGTTTATTCGAGTTGGTGTTTTTGCTTCGTTCTAGGGCTTCTTCGTGTGATGGATTCTGAGAACTGTGTTTCGCACCTTCATGACCTCATCCTTGAGCTTGGGCAGGAAGTTGTCGACAATCTGGTACTCCTTGATGGGCAGAGAGTGAAGGTAGATCTCCTCCATGCTGTTGATCTTGCCGGCCTTGACCAATCGACCGAGCTTGGTGACGGGCTGCCACTCCTTCTCCTCGTTCTTGCCGCGACCACGACCACGGCCACGTCCACGTCCTCGGCCGCGATCACCGCCTCGGGATCCGAAACCACCGCCGCGAGAAGCTCCACGATCAGCCATTGTGAAGGATTTTTGTTGTTTTGCGCTGGAGGGGGTGGGAGGCAAGATGTGGTCTGCGCAAGAGCAAGATACTGCTGTTGGTGTTGGCGATACTGGAACTTTTTGGCCCGGGTCAGGTGGGGTGGATAACGCACATAATTTTTGGTCGACGTTAGCGAGCCCTAACTGGAATTGGGGCCTTAATTGTTAGGCCGTCTTTGATTGAAAGTAGTGGGGGTGGATCTCACCTTGATTCTCACCGAAAATAGGATGGTTCAATTCTCGGTGTAGACAAGCCACCCCACCCATCATGAGTGATCGGCAATACAACATCCCGGTCCGATACAGTCAAATTAGAGACTCAGACTCAGACTCAGACTCAATATTGACAATTCCATCAGTCAATTGCTTCACGTATACACACACATATATATACTGAAAAACAATGCAAAAGTGTGGGGATGCTAGAGGACAACCATAAGCCATTTTTCTCGTCCTTCAATGGACACCTGAACCAGACACAGAACTAAACCACGGAGGGGAATTGGGAATCCATGCTCTTCTTCTCTTCGTACACGCCTGTTCACCACAGGCCATCATTAATGAGGGTATCGCAGCTCGACTACTCAGTATTCCGCCATCTTTTAGACCAGACACCAAGTCACATTACTCCTTCGTTGTCTTGACAATCAAGTTTTCTGAAGGCTGTACCCGTTGAGCCCACTCACTGTTACATATTAGCATAATTCATATCATGAGCTTTTTCAAAGGAGGCACTTACGTCCAACTGCCATCGTAGACCCTCCTGGACTCAGGGGAACCAACGCCAGCCTCCTCAAGGGCAGTATCAATAACACAGGCAGTCACACCAGTACCACAACTTGAGATGATAGGTTTTTGAGGGTCGACACCCTTCTCCCCAAACAGCTTCTTGAGTTGGTCCTTGGGGAGGAAAGCCTTGGTTTCAGGATCGAGAACAGAGCTGAAGGGGATGTTGATAGAAGCAGGAATATGACCAGAAGAAAGACCCTCGCGAGGCTCAGGGGATTCACCAGTGAAACGTCCATGGGGTCGGGCATCGAGAATTTGAATGCCCTCAGCGCCCTCCTTGTTGTGGTCTTGTGCGACTTCCTTAACCTGCTCAAAGCTCGCGACACGGTTCTCCTCCATCTCAGGAATTTGATAAGGATAGCACTCGATACTGTAGAGTTCTCCCGACTCGGTGGGCAGGCCCTGATCCACCCAAAGCTTGAAGTTGTTTAGTACATGGACCTTGTCATGGCCAAAAACCTTCATGGTCCAACCCACACGCGGTGCGCTGAAAATACCAAGCTCCTTGCTGTCGTACACCACCACAATGTCCTCCTTTCGGATACCCAATTCGCTCATGGCAGCAGCAAAGCCTTTGGGGTTAGGAAGCATGTGAGGATAGGGACTGCGCTTGTCAATGACCTTATCTAGGTCAAAGAACCGGGCCTTGGGAATTCTCTGTTCGCGAAACGTTTGGATACCGGATCGGCCATCGTTGGGGAGAAACCATGATGCGCAGAGGGGAATTACTCGAGGATCGGTGCTGATCGGCGACGGAGGGTTCTTCTTGAGGGCTTCGTGAAGCTCTGTCGGAGTAACAAGATAGGATGAGAAGTTTCGGCGGGTGAGCAGGGAAGGTCGGAAAACCTTGGAGCCCCATTGAGGAATGCCAGCTCTTGTTGAGCGGCAGAATGCGATAGACGCCATCGGATAGATGTTGTGTACAGGATGAAGAGGTGGTGAGAGCTCGTCGGACTCAGTGACTTGACGTAGGGCAAGTTCGCGAGTTCCTGAGCGATTGATAAGAGTCAGAGCCAAACGAAATGTAAATTCGCAGGCCAGACACTGTAGAAAAGACAGTTAGCAAAAGGCTTAACTGTCCGTCTACGTCCTCATTCGTCGGCGGGGTTAGTACCGCAAAGAATTGTCTGGTGGACTTGACGTGAGGCGAGTGAGGTTGATGACGAGAGGTTAACGGCCAATCGAGTCAACTTTGAATGGATGATACCTTTCGCGCAAGTGCGGGCGAGGTTGGCGGAATCGTGAGGAGCTTGGACCACCTCCATCAGTCATTTCCAACGGTGGGCGATGACGGAGTCGGAGGGGTTTCTACAGCGGGCTACAGCTTGTTCAGTGGGTGGCTCTCAGCGGATGAGGTCACTGAAGCGCGAAACGATAGGCGCCCACCCACCACTACAGCCCAATCCACTACGTTAGGTTGGAGTCTTGGACCTCTCACCTTGTCAACCTGAGCTCATGTGCCTCCCCCACGTCGACGTTAGTGCTTCAAACCTTGACCCTTCTTCACTCAAAGGTTGCACGGCCACTTTGAGTCTCGATCCTAACCCCAGAAATCCTCATCTCTACAATATCGATCCCGTGACTTCTCTGCCTCAAAACAAACATCATGAAGGTCACCATCAAGAAGTGGAATACGGTCGCTACTTGGCGCTGGGATATACCTGAAGACGATGTTTGTGGTATCTGTCAGGTCCACTTTGACGGGACGTGTCCGACATGTAAATACCCAGGCGACGATTGCAGCCTGTGTAAGTAAACATCAGACCATCTTGATAAAGATAAACTCTACTAACGCAAAATGAACCTCAGTGTCGGGGAAGTGCGGTCACAACTTTCACATGGTTCGAGCTCACCTTATATCTATCTTTGTTATCGTGAATATTTACGTGCTGACTGTGACGGTGTTTGTGTTTAGCACTGCATATTGGAATGGATCAAACAAGATTCATCAAGAGGGCAATGCCCCATGTGTCGTCAACGTACAGCCCCCAACCCGTTCATTTTCAACCAGATCAGGCTGACGTTTGTTTTCAGGCTTTGAGTGGAATGAACAACTGAAGGAACCAGTCACACAGGCCGAGTAAGGATGCTCGTACATGATGTTATGCAAGGCGTCGGGCGTTTTTCAGGGCATACATAGAAATTGGCGTCAAGCATACCCGAAATGGACTTGGGTAAATCGATTCAGCCGCTTACTGGCTGGTTTATTGGCACATTTTGTGAGTTGTGCTGTTACATGCAAGTTGGTGAGCCATGCACAACTCAGCTCTAGTGAGAGGGAGCCCACAGCCTCAATCAGGCTGACTGTGCCATGCCAGTCAGTCAAGCCTTGATAGTCTGAACATTCCCATGACAGCCCCAAGACAGTCTCTCAACTCTATTGACTGTCCTTGTTGTCTCTCTGAGGCTCTTTGAGAAGATCTTGTCTCTTTTAGCGGATTGTCACCATTATCTGAGCTTCGTTGAACTCTCTTTTTGATCCATTGACCAATTGTCTCTGAAGCCAGGGGCTCATAACCTCTGTACTCACTACAGACTCCGCTGCCTGTGTCTTGGAAGGATTTAAAAGCCAAGACTGAAGAGCCGTTGTCAACCCCTTGCGACTCAAGACGTATCTTGAAAGTAAGGGACTTTGGGGGCTGTTAAGTTGTACTTTCAGAGGGCCCCGTTGCCTTGCTGCGATCTCAGCTCCTGGTTCGCAACCAACCACACGCAACTGCGCAGCTGCGCAAAGGCCTCCAAGAGTTAAATACGGGCTTATTCCCCCCAGGATATCATTTTCGCCTCTCTTCATTCCCGGCTCCCTAAACGAGATCTTATTTCCATTTAACCTGAAACCTAGTTCAGAAGATATATATACAACATATATATATACCTTATCGTAACTAGTATCGCTTGGCTAGCGCCGTACAACAATATAAATCAGTTTATCCAACAAGAAGCTACCGTCTATCAGTAAGCTTCGCCTCAAATCAACAAAGGCAATTTCCTGTACCAACACCTCGCCTCAATGTACTCGTACCCTACACCTTTACCCGAATTCACTGCCCAATCTCAATCTCAGGATGGTCTTCATAATAGACCAGTGGCCAATTATCCCTGGGCAGTGCAAGGAGGTCTCAGCGCTATCAACACCAATGTCCGTCCGCAATATGGGTTCTCGGAGTCGCCTTTACCTATGAGTTCCTCAACCAATGGTTACCCAAGCTACGACATGGCTCGTCTCAGCCAACCCACTTTCAGGGCTTATCCAAGCTTCTCATCAGCTGGCGAATGGCCACACCCCAGGCCTCAGCATGGCTCATCGTCCCAAAGCCTCGTCCCGGCGACTAAGACCGAAGCGATCAAAGTTCTAATGAAAAGATTTGGGTGGCTGTGGTTGCTGCTCAAGGTCAGATCAAAACTTCGAGGCTCGGGTCGAAGACATCAACGTCGTCACAGTGCTTCGGATTACACATCACGGACAGCTGGTCACAACAATGGCCACTATTTGGCATCGTCACTGAGCGTTTCCCTTGCAGATGATGCAAGGTTGAGCAACCTAATCACTGGGGACGATGGGGATAACTACAACCCCGGTGATCCCACAAATCATGTGTGGTTTGACGCTCTGGGAATATTCAATGGAAACCCATTGTTGGCAGGGCCAGCGGATGTGCCACGGCCAGCCACAGTTCTCTTTGAAGAGGATGTCGCGGCTCCAATTCCGGCACAAAGACCCATTGAGTGTCTTGAAGAGACGGTTCCACCAATCAACTTGATGGATCAGCCTCAACAAGAGATGATTGTGCCTGGCCAGTCAAAAAAGCGAGCTTTTGACTGTGTTGAGCTCGATGATTCGTCAACAGACGAAGCTGACGGCATGTCTGTGGATAAGAAACGATCCAAGACGACTTCTGCAGCGCCACGATTTGCCTGCCCCTTTTACAAGCATAATCCAGAACGCTATGCAAACTCAAGAAGTTGCTGCGGACCTGGGTGGGAGACAGTGCATCGAGTCAAGTAAGTGATGTTCACCCTAAAACATCCAGGGATAGACTGACAACTCTCCAGGGAACACATCTTCCGAAGTCATACATTCCCAGAACATGAGTGTCAGCGCTGCTTTCAGTCTTTCAAGACAGAGTTGAAGCTCTCTAGGCATTTAAGAGCCTCTGCACCTTGCGAAGTCCAAAGTCGCAACACCCAGGAGCACGAAGGCATCAACGCAAGCCAGTCTAAGGCACTGCATGCAAGAGCCCGAAAATGTGACCCTGGAGCAGATCTCAAAGAGGTCGAGGAACAGAGATGGAACGATGTCTATAAAATCATCTTTCCTGGAGGGGGCCTTGTGCCTACACCGTGTTAGTGTTCAACCACATACACTGCAGGCTGAGTGCTAACAAAGCCCAGATTACGATCGCTTGCAGAAGAGCAACAATGATGACTTTGGCACGAACCTCATGTCTGATTTTGAGCAGCGCATGCGAAGCAATGTTAGTGACATGAAGAACTTGCAGCCTACACTGGCACCTCTGGTGGTCCAGCTAGCTTGCAATACACTCAGGGATAGTATGCAGTCCTGCCGCCAGAAGCCACAGGACGGTAGCAGTCAAGGCTCAAGCTCTATTGTGTCTCCAACACAAGAATTCCAGTCATTTCTTGATGGAGGGCTTCAGATGACGGGCATTAACGAGAATATTGTGCGGTGCCTTGATAACCAGATCTTCATGCAGGCGTTGCGGGATTCTGGTTTAGATCTGGGGCCTACAGGCTTTGCGAGCCTATGAAGATGACGAAAAGGGGGATTTGAGATACCAATTTGATTTATGAGTTGAGCATTTGTATTGGCATGCGGGTCATGAGATGATCACCAACGGAACAAGATAGACGGAACAGGATAGACTTGGCGTTTGAATTCGAAGATACCATTTCATTCTCATCGAACTGTTAATGTGACTTGATTTAACAAGATCGAGTCTGGCTGTAGTGTAATTATTCAATTACCTCGTGCTCGCTTACACTTACTTATCGCCAAATCAGATGCATCTACTCGTTACCTATTGTCTAGGAAGAGTACGTTCCCGTAACAAGCCATGGGCTTATTTTCAACCCATCTGACTGGCTGATCAGGACGCTTGCCCGTTTGTTGCCTTCGCTCATGCACGGTTCGCCCGCCGTTGAGAACCTGCGCAATTGCGGATTAACTAGTCATATAAAGCACACTGCCCCCAAGTCCTTGAACAATTCATTATCAGCCTACTTCTCAAAACTTTAATAGCTGGATCTTATCTTTCTTTACGTTTCTGACTACCAAGCACCCTTCTGATTGGGTTCAGCTTCGTATGCAGCATGTCTGACCCAAGCCACAACGATCAGTGGGAGCAGGAGAGAAGCTTCATAGCAAAATTCTGGGAGAATCCCCCAAGTGAGGGTAGTACGGGGCAAATCCCGAAGCTCAAAAGTATCTCCAACCATGGAGAGGGAGTCTCCCACCTTGTACCACCAAGCTACATGGGTTCTTGGGGCAAGAAGCCCATGCCTTCTATCAATACCAGCATTGCTTCCATAGGGAACGATGTTGTGACACCTTGGTATGCCAAAATTCCAAGTATAGAGGTGTCAGATCTCGACAACGAGAAACCAATGTGCAGAACGGAAAGTTCAGGGACCTCGTGGTCGACTGGAGGTATCTCGATGGATAGTGGATGCTTCTGTTCAACTGGAAATATGAGCGAAAGCTGCACTCATGCTCCATTGTCAGATTCATATGTATCTTGGTTCGATCACTTCGATCCAGAAAACGTGCTGCCTCCGGGAAGTCCTCAAGGGATTGCTGATCTGCCTGGATCTCAACGAATTATTCAGGCTGTTTATTCATCACAGGTCGGTGATAGTCCAACTTTACAGCCAATTCCTGAGACCAGGGCCTCCTTGCCAGCATCTTCAGGTCCATCAGACTGCGGTTATAGTCGAGAGACCTCGGCAGACAGTGCCGAAACCTGCTGGAGCAGCGATCAAGCCTCATCCTCGTCGGCAGTTACTGAGAGAAAAAAGCATCAACTCATGGTTCAGATAATCGGGAAGCTTCAAGAATGGTTGGAGGTGACGCTAAGAAGACACGGGGCCTATAATGGCCAGACAGCTTCGAGTAGCGGCTCGACGCCAGTTGTCGGTGCAGCCAGTCACGCTGGAGAATCATCAAACAGTCAAACCCGAAGAAAGCGTCAGAGAAGTGATTCTGATGATGGTTTGGGGGAGGATGACAAGACACCAGATCGAGCCCAGAAGAAGCGTGGGAAAACCAGTGGTTCTAGTGAAACCAGATATGTTTGTCCATTCTTCAAGCATAATCGTGAGAAGTACAAAACATCTCAGTGGAAAAGCTGTTGCTGGCCAGGGTGGACCTCTGTTCATCGAGTCAAGTGAGTCCAGTTTACCTACTCGCTGGAAAAGAAATATCTAACTGTATACACAGAGAGCATCTTTATCGGCGACATATGCTTCCCAAGTTCCGCTGCAACAGATGCAGGCAAGACCTGAAATCAGCTTTCAACCTCAACGAACATCAACGAGCGGACACTATTTGCCAAAGACAGAGTGAAGAGCCTGAGGAAGAAGGTATCGATGAAGAACAAGAGAGATTACTCCGTGTCAGAAAGAGGAAGAATGGAAAAGCTCCACAAGTTGCAGAGGAAGAGAAGTGGGTTGAGATGTATAAGATTCTCTTCCCTCACGATGATCCAATTCCTTCTCCATGTAAGTTATATCACGTTATCTCGACACTCAGTCACTGAAACAGCTTCCTAGACCCCGAACTATGTCCTTTACAACCCGAACAAGACATAGAGCACCCCAGGGCGAACGTCTTAGACAGCTTTGAGGACTACGCGCGGCGTGAGTTTTCAAGACGCATGCGACCTCGTATAGAGAGTCTAGTCGATGGAATTTTCGAGCAAACTCTCACTTCTCAAACGATCACCGATGTCGCCAATAATGTCCTCTCAGGGATCATGGAGTCTTTTCGCGAAAGCCAAAGCCAGGAAACTTGCCAACCAGAATCACAGAATTCACCCTCGAGAATTCCAAGCCCTCATGGGTTGCCAGCTGAGAGCTCTAATCGAGTACCACAAGAAATCCATACTTATGAAGCCGGGTCCTATTCAAACCTGGAGATTGACTTGGATGAGATTCTAAGCTCGTTAGATGCTAATCAGTCGTTGGAATTTGAACGCTGGGGTATAGAAGACGAAGGTATAAACACATTTCATCCTTTTGGGCTCCAGGTTGAACAGTATAGTAAGGCGAACGCGTGAGGAAGAGTCCCAGGGGGCTAAAAAAAATGACTGGCCTAAAGTGCCACTAAGTTATCCTATACCTACCTAGGTCTTTTTGTACCTTAGGAAGCAGGTCTAAAGTTCGTTGCGTCCCTAGGAGGAGCTATACTGTTGGTATCTCAAGTTCTCGCATTATATCTATAGATGTGTCTAATCATGAGCTTTGTAATACAACTGCCAAACTCTGACATCTATGAATGTGCCTCGTTCTGACTTTACAAGACAGTCCCTCTACTGAGACTCCGGGACGTAGACACCATCCTTACACAAAACAACCACCTTCTTGAAGAATCGTCGCCATTCAAGAGGATCACCCTTGACCTTGACGAAGCGAATGTCAAGGACCTCCGTACCATCCGGCAGAGGCTGGCGATCCACTTGAATCTCGCCATGCAAACTTTGTTGACGACCGTCGAGTGCTTTGACCTTTATCTTAGCGACAGGGTTACCATGTGGATTAGGCGAAACATGCGTCGTGGGGACGTTCAGGTGGTGGAGAGCATCGTTAATCATCTGGATGATGTGGGCCGGAGGCACAGCCGAGAAGAAGCGAGTAAGTGATTCTGGGGGACAAATGTCGCGGAAACGGCGAGCTTGCTGGGTGAGGGTCATAGAAGGACCAGGAGTCTGAGAGAATTGAGACATGGATGGCTCGTCAGCGAGTGTATCGAGCATTGCTCGACTCGCATCGTGAGTATGTGGGAGTGATGAGGCTGGCGAGGCCATAGAGCGAAGTGGAGGACGCTCCCAATCCCAGTCCTTATCGGCAATTGGTGTCTCTGGCTGAGTAGAAGAGAATTTCCCGACATTCAGGCCAGTATCTATGTCCATATTGTCGCTCGAAGAAGGTTGTGATGTTGGGTGGTGGTTGAAGTCGATGCGGAGGTTCTCCAGCATCTGTGTCGCCAAGTTGATGGGGTCTGTGACTCGGCCATCCGAGTTGAGGAGGGCATTGTGTCTAGTGTACCAAGGATGTTGGCGCACTTGAGTAAAGTTGAAGCGTTTCGATGAATCGATGCTCATCATCCCTCGTAGTAGAGAGAGTGCTTCTGTAGGGACTCTCCCCCATAGAGCATCCGTGCTGCGACCAGATGTTCGTACGTATTCCTGGAACTCCCAGCTGCCTTGTGAGGGCTCATCCCATGGTGTGTTGCCGACAAGAAGAACGAATAGAATAACGCCACAAGACCAAACATCGACCAGATCTGGTGAGTATTTGGCAGCGTTGGGTAACTTCTTGTCTGCACGCCCACAAGCAAGGATTTCAGGGGCGATATAGGGTGGGCTACCACACAGTGTTGAGCTCAACTTTCGCTGGCCCTTGTACTCAAACATTGTGGCCATACCAAAGTCTGCGAGTTTTAAAGATCCATCTTGGGAGAGGAGAATGTTCTCGGGCTTGAGATCACGATGTGCCACGCCCTTGGAGTGCATGAAACTCACACCGCTGATGAGTTGAACGAAGTAGACTTGAGCAATGTCCTCACGGACACCGACATCAGCCTCAATCTTGTCGAATAAGTCTCCACCTTCTGCGTACTCCATGGCAATCCATCGCCAAATGTCATCTTCTCCTGAAGCGAACCACTCGATAATATTGGGATGCTGGCCGATGTGTGAATGCAGTGAGACCTCCATGGCCAACTGCTTGGTAGAAATGCGACCATGTTTAACAGCATAGCCCTTGTGAATGAGCTTTACAGCAAAAATTGGTGTTGGGGCGTCAAGCGGGATTGCTTTCTTGATGCTGTGTTGAGGTCAGTAGCGAACCTCTCGGTTATCGTGAGTGAAACATGGGGTAAAACTAACGAGGCATATGCTCCTCGGCCCACGGTCTTGGAGACGATTCGGAAGGGAAGATCCGTTGGTAGAGGGTCTAATTGTGACTGATTCATGGGTTTGTGTTAGTGATGAGGAGTCTAATGAAGTTATACAAGATCGAGATTCACAGCAGATTGAGTAACTGTGACTAGGTATGACTGTGAATCATTCACAATCTCCTTGATACTGACGATCTGTCACTGGAGAAAAGCCTGATAGACGCTATTGATAGGGGCTAAATAAGGAATGTCCTACTTACCATGGTGTAAAGGTATGTGACTCTATGATAGTGTCTGAATTGTGTTGCTAATATTCTGGCTCAACAATGACCAATCGTTCAGTTGAGAAATATCGTCCTGATACTTCAAGTCCAGAAGTTGCACGCGTTGATCCGCGTCTATTCACCGCGTAAAGTGTTTTTTTGTTGCTGTGAGACCCCGACCCAGGTCCCCTAAAGATAGCGTCACTTAGCGCCCTGTGCATCCTCTCACAGCACAAACCTGCCCTACAGTTTCAGCGCTGCTGCCTTGTATTGGATACCATTGGCTGTGGTGTTTCAATTCACCTGGACCCTAGTCGCGCTGGTTGCTGCGGTAAACAGTTGGAGCCTTTGATCAAACTTGAGTTGAGATGTCATTGCCCTTCCCTTTATTCAATTCTGTCGCAATCTAAAACAGTCTGTTATTGCACATCGTCTCACGTTTAAAGACAACTCAGAACCCGGGCTTTCTCTCTATTCGCTTTCATCCCTTCCCGCGTACACGCCACAACCAACGTCTTTTTGTCTCCCTCAATCGCCCCTGCATTCGTCCACTTTCACCTCTTTCCACTTGCGGAATTGTTGTCTGTACATAAACAATTCCCTACCGCTCCCTAGCAACCTATAATCGCATCTACTGTTCTGTTGCTTTCTTGGTTGTCGGCATCTCTTCGTACTCAGTTCTACTCGAGGAAACAACATCAGCATCAACATCTCACAATGGATTACAACATGGAGGATAGCCAGAACTCAGCTCCCGGTAGTGTCCAGGCCGCCAAGCTCAACTCCGGTCACAAGGGCCCTGACTCTCAGAGCACAACCAAGAGGTGAATACTCGTCCCGAGACATTATGGTCGCTACGGATGCTGACTCTAGACAGACTGCAGACCGAGCTGATGCAACTCATGACGTCGCCAGCTCCCGGCGTCTCTGCCTTCCCCGGTGCGGATGGAAACCTCCTCGCTTGGACTGCCACCATCGAGGGCCCCGACGATACTCCCTACGCTGGCTTGACCTTTAAGCTCAGCTTTGCGTTCCCCTCAAACTACCCTTACGCTGCTCCTACGGTGCTCTTCAAGACACCCATCTATCATCCTAACGTCGACTTCTCCGGCCGCATCTGCTTGGACATTCTCAAGGACAAGTGGACTGCTGCTTACAACATTCAAACTGTTCTGCTGAGTCTTCAAAGCTTGCTTGGCGAGCCCAACAAGTACGTACACAATTCTAACTTAACCATAACCATGTCACTGACAATTACTCAGTGCTTCACCCCTCAACGGTGAGGCTGCCGAGCTGTGGGATAAGGATACCGAGGAGTTCCAGAAGAAGGTCCTGGCACGCCACAGGGATGTTGAGGACGAGTAATTAGGCTTTAATAGGGATTGGTGCTTTGATAATTGTATAAAGGAACAGGAGTACCAGGTGTACGGAATTTGGTTTGATGACTTGTTAGGTTACAGGATTGCATGGCATTTCCACAGCTGGTTTAACAGCGAAGGGAGGGGACTTTGATAGGGTCAGAAACATGTACACCATTGTCGATAGCGAACCCTCTAATCGACGACTTATAGGATTCGCATCATCACGTCAGAACGTAAATGATTATTTTCGCCCTCATAAAAAAAGCCTCGTCCATAGACCACTTCACGCCTAGGCACCGATTGTCGTTTGTGTTGACTTCAAGCTTTGATCACATTTTTTTCCCTCTTGTGTATATTCAGCGTCAAAAGCCAGAATGCCGGATTCAACTCCAAATGCCATGCCACCATAGAACCTGTCCCAAGAGAAACTTTTTATATTTATTCCTCAACAACGACTGTGGCAAGACCCTTGGGGTTCTTGACGTTCACAGCCTGGACGTAGCTGTACAGCTTCTCCTTGGCACCCTCCTCGTCGTTTCGTCGTCGGGAAATTCGCACTCGGAGTCGGTAGTCAACACCCTTGATACCCTGCTCCCAGACCTTCTTGTTGAGCTGGGGGTCGATGCGGACGTCGGAGGTACCCTGTCAGGAAGGTTAGCACATGTGGTTCGAAAATGACAACTTTGCCCTCTGCAATTGCTTCGCATTCGGCATCGGGCTCTTTGGATGAATAGTCGTACCATAGACTTATGGGCAAAGGCCTTGATCTCCTTGATAGCACGGGGAGCCCTCTTCTTGAAGGTGACACCATGGAGCTTTTGCTCGTCAGCATTTAATCCAGATATTTCAAGCTCCGCTTCTCGAGCTATTCTTTGGCGAAGCAACGTACTCGCTTGTGCATGTGGATGGTGTACTCGCGGGCGACGACATCCGCGATGGCGGAGCGCTGAGTCTTGCCGGAGGGCTTCTTGGACGACATGGCTGGAAATATGAGGGTTAGTCCTTCGGTCGACGAAGTTGATAAAAGAATGAGTCGCTCGTGCTCGTAGTCTCTTGAGAGAAAAAGGACTTCGCGGGAGGAGAGGAGGGAGTATTGGTCGTACCTGCGGCTCGTCTCTTCGAGATTGGTCGTTAGGAAGGTGTGATGAAGTAGCTGGAGTAATTGCCAAAAATCTTTGTGCGTAGCCCTCGAAATCGGCAGGCACTCTGTGGGCCTGGCGAGCCAATTAGAGCGCAGCCCTGATGATCCACCAGTCTCTCACGTGATGATGGTCGATTCACAGTTTGGACAATCAGCTAACCCCAGATGGGCTAGAGGCGTTGTATGGTCCACGTTCAGCCTCCAGTGGTGTTTACCGCGTAACAAGCATTGCATCTAATCTTGGCCGTTGCTGCATAACGATTCCATCATTCCAGCTTGGGGCAATTGATTTCAAGGCACCGCAAACATCGCCATTCTTTGCGCATAAGCGTCTCGTCTCTCTCATTCAGAGACTGCTTCGCTTAGGAGAGTGTGCGGTTGCTTCGACAAGACT